AGAATGATGAAGCCTTAAGTGGTGTGCTAAAGTGTTCCAGACTTAACAATAGAGTTAATGGCAGTATTTTATTTAAAATTACTGTATTAAGGTACCTGAGTATCATTCTTGAACCAGAGGGATTACTATGGAACATGTTGGTGGGAAATATTGCATAATTCCAACTCTTTTCTAGATCAAGCAGATGTTTGTAGTGGCTGTTCTGAGAACCATTTTTGTATCACAAATAAAAAGTGGTATTCAAAGAATGGTTACCATTTTTTAATGAATTTTTGAGTTTAGAGCCTGAGATGTTATACACTTTCAATAGAGCGTCCTATGTGAATCCTATTAACCAAACATGTCTTTCTTTTGTTCTAGGATATATACCAGTGGTGTGGCTCTACATGCAATAAATATGAGCGCTTGAAAGCTACTCAGGTAGCTATAGGTATTCGAGACAATGAGCGGAATGGAAGAGCTCAGTTGATTGTTGTTGATGAAGGAAGTGAGCCAAAAGAACTCCTAAAGGTATTGTACCTTCACCTGCTTTAGAAACAGCTGTTACCTGCACTGTATATCTTGCTAGTTCAGCAGCTATTTTGCTTCAGGTCTGTTGCATGGATTGCTGGTGTAAGAGAAGTCTTATATGCAGAATGCCCCTGTTCAATATCTCATATCTCCAGGTAGGGCTAGGAAAACCTATGCTTGAAATTGTGGTGACCTGCTGCAAACAATATTGTGCTTGGTAGACCAATTAACTGACTTCATATAAGGAACTGTCCTCTGTCTCATAGAAGATTTTTGGGCTGTAGTTAACTAGGTAGAAAACAATTCTGCATGCATATGGTCTCAGGTTCAGTTGCTGGCATCCCCAGTGGCAGTAAAGGGAAACATAAGCTACAGCTAGTTAGTGAATGCAATCATGAAATGAATTAAGCGTGGGCAACTTGTAGCCCCCTAGATTTTGTTAGACTGTGGTCTCCTATCAGCTCTAGCCAGATTTGAGGTGTGGTGGGTGCTGCATTCCAACATCTAGAGGGCCACAGGTGACTTACCCCTTACCCAAATGGACCTTGCTCCAGTTCATTGTAAGGCAACTATGTAGTGTTGTTAGTTAGAGCAGACTAGAAAGTAAAGAAAGAGAATGAGATTGATTTTTTTTACAAAATAGATAACCTCAAAGAGTTTAGAACAGGTATAGGCAACTGTGCAGGTGTCAGGGACCATTTCCCTCTTATGCTTGCCTGGAGGGCTGCAGCAGTATGTTTTGGTGTATCCAAAATTATACAACATCTCTTCTGGCCACCATTTGCTGATTTTCAGCCTTGTTTAAAATTTGCTTTTGGGAATCATTTATGGTAGCTTTGGGGGGGGGGTGGCTCTGGAAAGTTAGGACAAGCACCACATCTTGGGGTGATTTTGGTTTGGAGGTAAAAAAAACATTACCCTCACATCAACCCCAAATTAGAAATTTTGTGGAGGGTTCTTGGATCTTTGGGGGGCATCTGGGGGCTTCAGGAGCCACATTTAGGGGGCCCAAGGGCCAAATGTGCCCTACAGAGTCTACTTTGTCCACCCCTTGTTTAGAATATTCACTTCATAGCTGCACTGAATTTGACCTCATTTCCCCCCTGAGAAAAGTTGCTATGTGAGTGAGGGTAAGGACTTTTAACAGATAATTCTCAGCACCTTTGCCAAACTACACTCTACAGACTTGTTTGAAGAAAAAGCATGACCATTAAACTGTTATGAAAGTTTGTATGTTTGCCTTTGGGGTTTGTTGAATTGTTGGATAGCAAGCCAATGATCACTTTTCTTTGCCAACATAGTTTGTATTAATTGTTATGAGATGATTGAAGAAACTGCCCAGTCTGACCCTTAAAAGAGATGGCATAACTCATTCTTTAAGCAAAAGAATCTATTGGAACAATGCTCTGGCATAGTGCTAATCCTGCTTGGCTAGTTTGAGGAAATGGTTGATCTTTTGTGAAAAGAAGGCATGCTTTCAGATAGAGCTGTTTGGGCCATCATACTTCTGCCTATGAGCTGTAAGATGAAGGAACAGCAACTGCACATAGGCTGATCAAGGCCCTTCACTGACCAGTTGGTTTAGGGTAGAAGGGTGCAACAGATATATTTGCACTGTTGCACCCATCCTTCTTGCTCATTTACCAGGCAACTTACAGACACAGGGCTCCAGTTGATTTAGTTTATGTGTACATGTGCCTTTGAAAAGCTGGTTGACTTATGTTGACTCCATGAAGTTCATAGGCAAAGAATATTCAGAGGCGGTATTGCCATGTCCTTCCTCTGAAATATAGCCTACAGAACTTGGCATTTATTGGCTGTCTCCCATTCAAGTACTAACCAGAGCTGACCCTGCTAAGCTTCAGATGGGATCTGGTGCCTTTAGGCCAGGGGTAGGCAGCCTTTTTGAACTGGGGGCTGAGTTGCTGTCTCTCAGACAATTGGGGGGCCGAAGCACCAAAAATAAATAAATAAAAATAAAAATAATTTTTTTAAAGAAAAATTACAAAATTACAAAAATATGCATGCACACTCTCTCGGCCCCAGAAAAGTCATGGCAAACCCCCTGTGGAGATTTTGCCAAG